AACGATAATCGAATCATTATGAATAAGAACTGAATTATGTAATATATAAAATGAAAAACTTACCAAAGCGACATCGTAAGGACCCACCCTTCCAGTGAAGGACGAGTGTACGATGGTCCTCTTGTAGGCGCAACGTTGCTCAGATGATTCGCTTTTCGACAAATCGTGTTTTCCGACTACAGCCTACACAAATTAATTATCAGTTAATTGAAGTAAATAATAATGGGTAGTACTGCCCTAAGACAGGTCTGTGATCTGAATTAAACTCCAACTCGATTCAGGGAAAAAGATGTGTGGGAGTTTTTCCCGTATTTCCATTTCACAACGCCGTACTGAAATAGGCTTATTTTCAATTGGAAACTTCAAGTATTATAATATAATACTACAATCGGCATTTACATTAATGAATCACAGAAATAATAATTTTTAAAATATCACAGTATCGTATTTGTTGCAATCACATTTTTTGGATTTATCTCGACTCAATTAATATTGTAGATTTTTATTACACTGAATGTTTAATATTAAGATAAATATACTTTTAAGCAGCGGATATTGACTAAATATCTTTCAAATGTAAGCATCTAAAATCTTTAATTTAAATACAAAATATTGTACTGTCAATAATCTATTATTAACATTTAAATGTAACAATGTGATAACAATTCATTGTATTTAAATATTATGATTAAAAAATATATTATTATAAAGTGGCAATTGAACATAATCAAAATAAATTCAATATTCTCATTATGACATATGAACGCAACATCACAACTTTATTAATTTTTTGTTTATTTGTGTTTTTAATTGTCATGGTTTTGTGTTTACTGTTAAGTATAAGGATAAAGAACTTTTCTTTAAAATTTATTATAATAAACCTTTATAATTATTATAAATTATTATTATTGGAACTACTAATTGATGACACATATAGTACAGAATAAATATCACTTATTATTTTCTGTTTATTAAGCTTTAAGGATATATTCATGTAATGGAACAAATCTACAACATTTTTATTATGTATTTCAAAATTATAAATAAATATTAATATAATAAAATAGAAATATTAATGAATTTTATAATGTTAGCAATAGCTTAAAAATAAATAACTAAATATTCATTTCTATTGGAAAATAGATGTTATACCGAAAGCGACATTACAATAAAAACAAATTTTCTTTTTGACGAAAAAATGTCTTACCTCGTAGTTTTCAGTTCCGCTGATGCAGTGCGCGGCAGTCAAGACCCACCTGTCGTTCAAGATGGAACCGCCGCACAAGTGCTTTCCGGACCTTTGCAGGGAAACCTGCCAGGGAAACTGGTGAGGTTTGGCAGTCTGGCCACCAACTACACGAGGAAAACCTTCGGGAAAGCCAATCCAATCGATTTCTAAGAAATAGTTAAAGGTATAAATGAGAGATTTTATCAATGATCAGAAATCACAACACACTATAAAATATAAAGATACAATAACTCAATAATATTTAATCGCCCAATTCTGATCCATAGTCATCAAATAATAATAAAAATGTTTTTTATAATTTATTAATTTATAATTAACTTCCCGTACGGTAAGTTATAGTATTCGTAAAAAATCGAAAATGAAAATTCTTATATATCTTTGCGTTTCAAAAGTTTCTGAACATTTTGGCGCGATTGGCGTTGATCGATCAAAAATGTTCGAATGTTTCAAAAAATTTCAGATGTAAAAAAATGTCAGGTTTATTGAAAAAAACTAACAATAAGTTTTAAAAAATTATCAACATCCTCAAAAATCCTTTTTTTTCAAATATTTCATAATATTTTTAAGGTTTTTAACAAATTTAATTTTTAGTACGGGAAGTTCAAGCAATTTCTTTTGAGGCACGATGCCTTGCACCACTAGTTTAATTTTATTTATTATATTACATTTTCAAAATATTATTTCACAAACTTCACATACAGCACATCAATGGATAAAACTAAAAATATTAGTTGATTAAAATAGGATATGACTAAAGATTATTCAAAAACTTGCCATTTGTTGGTGCAGCAGCAGCGGCTGCGATGAGTAATGTAAAAACGTAAAGTTTCATGTTTGTTATTAACTGTGGTATATGGGGAAAGTGGGCAGATTCTCCTATTTATATAAAATCAAGTACCAAGAATGAATCACTTATCTACTATATTATGCGTTTCAATAATTTTTAGATTTATACTTATCTCCAATCAAATTGCATATCGCAAAGACAAAGAATGTGCATTGTTTACATATTAACCGACATTATATGAATCATTTAATGATCTTATTTTTAGGCAGCAAATTTAATTAATAATACAAATAAGCAGCAAGTTGGTGGTGTATGGCAAGGCAAATTGCTGGAACTTCCCGTATCATAACGAAATGTTGGCGGAATATTAAATGTTTTCAAATAGATAATTATAAATAAATACTGTAACATTCTCTAATATTTATAAGAATTATATAAACTGAATTGCAAAGTTGAAATTATTTATTTAAAGTATATTAGAATAGAATTAAAATTAAATTCTGAATTATTTTTGATATACAAAAATAAAAAATTAAAAAATAAAATTTTTTTGAAAAAAAAAATTAGAAACATTTTTTTTCTCCCAAAGCAATTATTTTATTGAAACAAGCAGAAAGTTCTTTGAATAATTCAAATCGGACACTTAGTTCTCTTAAAAACTGCCATTATTTGCACATTTAGCTCTGTATCTTCGAAATGTTTTGTAGATCATTCAAATCGGATACTGCGCTCTTTCAAAAACTCGATTTCTATTTTCTGCACTCTTTGCTCCGTATCTCCGTAACGGCTGGGCATGCCTTCGCCAAAAACTGATCAGCACATCTCCCAATGAATAGGAATCGAATGTCTTTTGAACTATTCAAATCGGTTGATCCGTGCGCCCGAAAACGTGGACAAAAAATGCGGACATACAAAACACACACACACGAAAATTTTCATTTTTGATTTTCGGCCCATTACTATAACTACCCTACGGGGAATTGCTGTATCAATAAAAAATTTCATAATTACAGAAAATGTAATAATAAATTTCATAATTACAGAAAATGTAATAATAAATTTATCAATTACATTTATTCCAACCGTTATGCTGCCTTTTAAATTGACGTAGTTAATTTACATCATCGCAACAGCTAATAAAAATATATGAATATGAATGTGAATTCAAAGTTATATTTTAACATGTAAATAATGTTCTAGTAAAATAAGTATAAAATCTTGTTAATCTTGTAAGAGCAGAATAAATAAAAATTACACATCTGCCATTAATTATATTGTAAAATACCGAGATTTTTCTGCTTCGGAAAAATGTTTAGTGTAATAATAAAAACTTGCTTAAGTTTAGGAATAACAGATAAATTTAAGTAAATGCACTCGCAAAGAATACTATATTAGTTAGATTGCTAGAAACGAAATATTTAATTTGAAGTTATAACTTTTCATTAGGGATAACATAATGATTTTAATTTTCTTAAATTCTCAACTTCTAAAGGACTTTGTATTTTAAAAGGATTATGAATAGTAATTTAAAATAAATTGCAAATTATTTATGAAATAACTAACAAAGTAATAGTATTTTGACATCGTTAATCATCTTTTTAAAGTAATAGTTGTAGAAACATAAGATTTGCGGAAATATTAAATAATATATCAAACAAAGGAAAAGAATATTGCATATGTGCAACATCAAATGACTTCATAATTTGAACATTTTTGGCCAAAATAAAATTTACATTAAAATTTTGAAAACAAACTTTAATACTGAAAGCAATTCAGAAATGTATAGCCGTAGTAAAATGTCGATAATCAACGTACTTATACAATATTTTATAGATTGGTTGATTAGTAGAGATAACTAGTGGGGTGTATGGCATCGTGCCTTAAGGCAAATTGCTGGAACTTTCCGTACCGTAACGAAATGCTCGAGTTTTAAAATAGATTATTATAAATATTGTAACATTGTCGAATATTTATAAGAATTATATAAACTAAATTGGAAAGTTGAAATTATTTCTTTAAAGTATATTAGAACATAATTAAAATAAAAATCTGAAATATTTTCGATATACAAAAAAAAATTTTTTTGGAAAAAAAAATAAAAAAAAAATTTTGAAGTAAAATTTTTTTCTTCCAAAATCAATTATTTTGTTAAAACAAGCAGAAAGTTTTTGGAATCATTCAAATCGGACGCTTAGTTCTCTCAAAAACTGCCATTTTTGCACAGTTAGCTCTGTATCTCCAAAACCGCTGGACCTGCCTTTGCCAAAAACTAATCACCTCTTCTCCCCGTCATTACGAATTGAATGTTTTTGGGATCATTCAAATCGGATGCTCCGATCTCTCAAAAACTCTATTTTCTATTTCTATTTTCTGCTCCCTTTGCTCCGTATCTCCGAATCGGCTGGACCTGCCTTTGCCAAAAACTAATCAGCTCATCTCCCTATCAATAGGAATCGAATGTTTTTTGAACCATTCAAATCGGTTGATCCGTGCGCCCGAAAACGCGGACGAAAAATTGTATCCATACATACATACACTCACACACACACATCCTTTTGTTCTGAGGTATGCCAAAATGTTCAGAAACCTTCAAAACGTCGAGAAATGTAAAAATTTTCAATTTCGATTTTCGGCCCATTACAATAACTTACCCTACGGGAAGTTAATAATCATATTTGATACAGATATAAATATAAAAATATATAGTTATAATTATAATTATATAAATATATATATATATATATATATATATATATATATATATATATATACTATACTATTCCCCGGTTACATTTGAGTTAGGACTATAGTCAAAACATAAGACGGTCCAGACGGAGGTCAGTATCTAATCGTTCGTCTGGTGAAGATACGATCTCACCCATCAAACAGAAGTCGCACGATTCATTTTATTATAAATACCGCGTTTTCAATGAAAACAATTCATATCACAGCAAGATTTAAAAAATGAAAATTATATTAGCTATTTTATTAGTGGCAGCGGTTACAGCTGCTCCAGGTAAGAAAACCTAAGCTGACAATTGTTTATTTTTAAAATTGTAGCTATGAAATATTTATTCATTCCCAGTTTTAATTTTAAATTAAAAAAATCGAATAATTAACTTTTCAGACGAGGACATAATCGGTTTTCCTGACGGTTTTCCGAGAGTTGTCGGCGGCCACACCGCGGATCCATATCAATTCCCGTGGCAAGTGTCCTTGCAGATGTTTGGCAGCCACTTTTGCGGTGGGATCATATACAATTCCAAATGGGTGATAACCGCAGGACATTGCATCATGGGTATAAATGGATTTGAGGTATGTTGTAAGCTCAGTTATTGAAGCAAGTAATGCAATAACAAGTGCCAAGAATATGCTGAATTCTTCTCTTAGGCGGTAGCAGGAAAACATGATCTGTCCAAGACCGAGTCGACTGAACAACGTTCTGCCTTCAAGAGAACTTTTGTGCACAAATCGTACGGAGGTAGCGTCGGTCCTTATGATATTGCAGTGGTAGGTAAAAAATATATTTGTTTTAAAAATAAGATTTTATTATTTATAAATATGATTATTTTTTTAGATTGAAGTGGATCCACCATTTAAATTCAATGAAGCCGTGCAGGCTGTAAACTTACCTTTAAAAGATGAACCTCATTCAGGGCAGGTGACTTTATCCGGTTGGGGATCTACCTCGACCACTATTTTTCCCACATATCCAAATCTTTTGCAGGTAATGAGTTGGTATCTATTAGATTGTGCACTATAACCAATATACGATTTGTTGTTAGGCCGTGAACAAACCAATTGTGTCTTACGCCGAGTGCGAAAAGGTTTTGGGAGGCCCCGGAGCATCTCCGCTTCATCCCTTGAATATTTGCACCGGACCCTTAACCGGCGGAGTCAGTGCATGCTCCGGAGACTCCGGCGGACCCCTGGTGCAATACAACGGAAATGAGGTAATCTCTCTAAAACTTCAGAATGATTATAAATCTTCAATCATTTTGGTTTTTCTGTGTGCTAATTTAAGAGTTATCATTACAGACTACTCTGTTGGGTATTGTGTCCTGGGGTTACATCCCGTGCGGATCTTTGAACAAACCGTCAGTTTATACTAGAGTTTCTGGGTACTTGAACTGGATTAAGGAGAACACTAAATAATAATATTCTTTGATGTCACTTAGATATTTTTTTATTTGTGAATAAGTTTTTCTAAAATTAATAAAAATGTAAAAATTGAATAAAAAGCTTTTATTTTGGTATCACTAAATGTATTTGTAAGTATGTGGTACTTTAGTTTATTTTACTTCATTTTCATTGGCATCTAGTTACATTTAGCCTTCTACATAATATACAAATTAACTTATCAGTAGAAAAGTAGCATATTTTATTTTGTTTAATTGACACTAAAATAAATAAAAAGCAAAATTACTTTTTATTTATTTAATTAATATTAATTTAAATCTTTCGACTCATTTTTTATAACTGAAATAAACTACATTCTAAATTTAGGTGTTCAGTTGTTACTAACGCAAAACCCTAATTGCAAATTTCGGTCACAATGATTTCTAATTGTATACTAATAATTTGCAATATAGTTTTAATTAAATATATATATATATATATATATATATATATACATGTATATATATATATATATTAGTGATGTGCCGACTCAAAAAATTCCTGATTCGAATGATTCGAATCAGAAAAAAATCTGATTCGAATCATGATTCGAATCAACTCGAATCAAGTATATTGTAGTGGTTTCACCCTTTACAATAGTTATAAATAATATTATAAATTCGATATAACAATCAATATGAAAGACGCAATACGTTGTTGACTTACAGCTCATAGATTGTATCAGAGATAAGCATGACGCATAGCTTTGCAACATTGTATGCAAGTCAGTAACGGTTTTGTAGGGTTTTGCGTCTAAAGTAAACAAGTATGAATCATTTTAACGTATTTTTCTGGAAGGATGATTGCGTCATCATCAGAGATTATAAAAAGCCGGAGGACGACCAAACGAGTGTTCATTCTTGACTAGAAGCCAAACAGTTCACATCACTTTTATTTAAAATATCAATTGTGTATTAAGTGTAACCAAGTAATGAATTAAATAAAAATTAATAAAAGTCTTCAGATGTTTAATTAAATATTCCACAGTGGAAAGCTTAGGATAGCAGCAGAAGAACCTAATTTTAATCGTTGACATCGTTGGTGACGCAACATAATTGTTGGTGACGGCCTCAACATAACTTGTTGACAGCCAGGGTGCACAACAATATATATGGACAAAAAAATCATGGATGTATTAATTTAGTAAAAGTGATCCAAATTTATAATCAAAATTGTCAGTCTGAAAATTATTAAAAATGATATAATTTTGAGAACGGCTGAAACATATCTTCAAATTAATTTACAATAATAGATTACCAAACAATTGTGCATCACTAAAGCATATAAAATAATATTTGGAATCATGGGTCGATTGTTTATTTTACTATGTAATCAGTAAAGGATCGCATCTAAACTGAGAGCTGAAAGTTAATTTTATTAATGTGAATTCAGAAGTTAACATATTATTTACTGACTTTCTGGTGTTTAATAACTGTTTCAAAAGAGAATTATATTGAAAGATTCCTGAAACGCGTTTCATAATTTCGAGTGGTTTATTCTGATAACATTTAAAATCTAAAACACTTAATTATTATCAAAATTGGGTATTGATATTTCACGAACAAAATCGCTCTCAGCGCACCGCAAAATAAATAAACACGCAAGAACGACGACGCATTATAGCTGTTTCGAAGTCGCTTGATATCGCCCATACGGTTAACTCATATCGCTCGAACGGCTTGAAGTCGGAATGATTCGAATCCGAATTGAAGTCGAAACAACTCATAACGCCGCTTGATTCGGTTTGAGTCATGAAGTCGGAATAACTCATATCGCCGCTTGATTCGGTTTGACTCATATGAAGTCGGATGATATAGTTAGTCGCTGAATGCGGTTAAAGTCATATAAAGACGATTAAAGTCGGCTAATACATTTAGGCATATTAAAGTCGGGTGGCTCGCATGATTTAATTCATTATTTATTTTTTATATTTATGATATTTATTTTTTATATTATTATAATATTGAATTAAATTAAAACATTTTTTTATATTTATATTTATGAAAAATTTTATATTTATGAAAAATTTGTGTTAATACATATTTTATTACAGTAAATATTTCGCGGCTTGATCAAGTCGTTAAAGGCTTGATTCGAATGATTCGAATCACTTGATTCGACTTGGCACATCACTAATATATATATATATATATATATATATATATATATATTAATTGTTTAATATGAACAAAACAGCACTCAGATTTGTTTAACACAACTTTATTTTATGATTACAGACGTTTCGAGACCATGGTGTGTCTCATCTTCAGTGTAATTTCAAAAACAGTTACTTATATACTACACATTCTTTAATAATTTATTTAAATTTCATTTAATTTTTTGGTATACAAAAAACACCAACTATTCCTTGCAATGCTTGACACAGTACTAAAGAAACATACTCGTATAACACTTACAGAAATATTCTAAACAAATTTGAAGTACTTATATAGATGGAGACAGAGAGGGTATCATTATAATATAAACAAAAGGAGTGCTATCGCATACAAAATCGATAAAAATGAAAAAACAAATTAATTTATTGAAAAGAATAAGATAAATGAAAAAATTTTATAAATTATTAATGATGTTTATATAAGTGTCATGTAAAATATTTGTGTCGGTTCTTAGATTTATGCTATTGTTAGTCCGAACTATTAACATTGATTCTGCCATGCTCCGTTTAAATAAGTCTTTCTCATGGAATAAAATTTGGGGATTGTCAAAATCAAACTTATGGTTGTTGATATTAGCATGATCCACAAGTGTACTTTTAAATTTTTTGTTATCTATTTTTTCACATTGTAATTCATGTTGCCTGAGTCTCTTTTCTAAGTTCTGGCAGGTCTGGCCAATATAAGAGCAATTACAATCCAAACAATTTACTTTATAAACTATATCTTTCTTTTTTGTTAATGGAGTTTCATCTTTAATTTTGGAATATAAAAATTTTAATTGTTTTAATGGAGAAAAAGTAATACGAATATTGTGTTTTTTGAAAAGTCTTTTTGATAATTGGTTAAAATTATTGTCAAGATATGGAAAATTAATGAAAAAAGTTTTTTCAGGAACACTTGTTTTGCTAGGCTCTTCCGGTTTCTTATCAAAAGGTTCAAGTAATTTTGCGACTCTATTTTTAATAATTGGACAAATTAACTTATATGGAAATTTATTGCCAAGTAGGATCGTTTTAACTAATTTTATGTTTGTATCATAAAACAGGGGATCAGATAATAAAATAGCGTGATCTACAAGATTTAGAATGGTAGAAATTTTTATATTGAGAGGAACATGCGAATTAAAATTAATGTATCTCCCGGACCAACTATCTTTTCTGTACCAGTCTGTATAACATACACCGCCTCTATTAATGAGTTTTACGTCAAGAAAATGTAACGTCGAATCATTTTCAAGTTCCTGAGTGAATTGTAAAAAAGAATTGTACTCATTGAATTTGTTGAAAACATTATCTATATCTTTTTTATTAAGTAATATTAATGTGTCATCGACATATCTGAAATAGACCATAGGTTTGGAAGGTAAAGAATTTAAGACATGATTTTCCAAATCTTGTAATACTAAATCCGCCAAAACAGGACTTAATGGGCTGCCCATTGGACAACCTCTCTTCATCGTATAATATTTTTTATTAAAAGTGAAATATGATGCTTTTAAAAGTAATTCTATTCCTGAAATAAAAATTTCCATCGGTAAACAAGTGAATTCAACTATTTGTATCCATCTTTTCTTTATAGCTGTAATAATTAGATCATGCGGAAGATTATTAAATAAATTAATGACGTCAAGACTCATAAAGGAACAATCAGGAGGAATTACTTTATGTTTTATATGTTCTATTAACTGGAAAGAGTTATTTAAACGGTATGGAGAATCTATGGTGACATTCTTTAAAATATCTGAAAAATATTTTGCTAAAAAATAGTATGGCGAATCAATGTAGGAAACAATTGGTCTAAATGGGCAATTAGGTTTATGGATCTTTGGAAGGCAATAGAATTTTGGGGTTAAAGGATGTTGTACTTTTAACTTTAATGATATGGTATTATTAATATGTCCCTTTTTCTCTAATAAATTTATAAATTTAAAAACCTGTCTATGGTGATAGTTGTTCGGATCCGATGCCAATTCTTCATATAGAGATTCATCACTGAGAATTTTCTTTGCTTCTTTATCATATTCCTCTTTTAACAAAACCACTGAAATGTTTCCTTTATCTGCCTTACACACTAATAATTGTTTGTTATCTTGAAGAAATTTTTTTGTAGCTATGATGTCCCGGTAGATGTAAGATGTATCATTCTTGCACTGTACTTTGTTTTTGTGAGTTTTTTGAAATGTTGTAAATTGTTTCATTAACATAAATCTTATCCGTTCGATTTCTTTTCCTTCTGGATCTTTGATTAATTTAAGGCCGGCTTCTAGGCTGCTAATAACTTTAATTGAATCATTGAATGTTAAATTTTTTTGTTGGATTGAAAACTTTGGACCTAGAGCCAATATATATTTTATATTATCTGGTATATGAGTATCCGTTTTGTTTATAACCCATTTGTTCCAATCTAAACCTGTATTGATAATCGGATGTGCTTTGTCTCTTAGCTCTATTAGTTTCTTAAGTTTGTTGCATTGTTTAACTTAAGAAACTAATAGAGCTAAGAGACAAAGCACATCCGATTATCAATACAGGTTTAGATTGGAACAAATGCGTTATAAACAAAACGGATACTCATATACCAGATAATATAAAATATATATTGGCTCTAGGTCCAAAGTTTTCAATCCAACAAAAAATTTAACATTCAATGATTCAATTAAAGTTATTAGCAGCCTAGAAGCCGGCCTTAAATTAATCAAAGATCCAGAAGGAAAAGAAATCGAACGGATAAGATTTATGTTAATGAAACAATTTACAACATTTCAAAAAACTCACAAAAACAAAGTACAGTGCAAGAATG